GACCTCCGCCAGCTTGGAGGGCGGCCCGCCGGTGTGTGGGGGGGACCTTGAGGGCCACCCGGGCCGCCTGGATCTGTAGCCCAGGCCAGAGCCCATAGCATACAGGTGCGGCCTCTGCCTGTCACAGGCCCTCGCCTGACGCCAAAGCCCGCCTTCCTTGCCATAGCCAATCCTCCTCAGGGCCAGCCAGGCCTGCAGGCCTCGGGGCCAGGAATGGTCTCTCCGATTTGAAAATCCCAAAGCGGGCGCCTTCCCCGAACCAGCGTGCGCCCCGGGGACGCCTTGGGACGCGCAGTTTGGACAGAAGCAGCCATAACGTGCCAGGCCGCCTGTGCAACCAGTCTCCATGGCGCTGGGGGTAGGGGGAGGACCCGAGTCTAGTCGGGCTTCCAGCTCCTATCAGGGGTGGCCAAGGCGGGGGAGGTTCCCGACAGGCCCTGGGAGGCCGCCCCTCAGGTCCTCCCTTGCCCCCCTCTGCTCGGCCTGCTTGGGAATCTCTGAGGGGCCCGCGCAGCAGTCGCGCCAGGCTGCACGACGCGGGGCTGCGGCTGGCGTCGGTCCCGGCGACGGCCACAGCGTGGCAGCAGCGAGCGCCCAGCGCGGTCGCAATAAATAATCTGCCCGCGGCAGCCGCAGTCAGGCAGCCCGCGGCCCTGCGACGCAAACGCGCAGCTTTATCCGCCCTGAGTGCACCCACAGCGCCGGTGGACGTCCCAAACATCTACAGCCCCTTCTTAATTTTCTAATGCACACCAAGGTATTATCTTAAGGTGGAAAAACAACAACAACAACGACCAGAACCACAGAACAAACAAAAAGAACTCGAGCCCAGAACCTCAAGATCGTGTCTGGTCGCAGTCCCAGGAAGCTCCCGGGGCAAATCTGGCCGACGCGCACCCAGGCCAAGCAACGGTCTGTGCCACCGCTCCACATAAAGTCAATGCCCACGGTACCCTCCGTGCCTCCCGGGCGGCTTCACAGTCCCCTCCCGGCTCGCGGAAAGTGGGGCGCGCGGTCGGCGGCCCGCTGCGCCGATGTGGGGGTGGTGGGGTCCCCCTATCGCCCAGACGCGGTTTGCGTCCTTCTTTCAACCTTAGCTGCGGGCCCCTGCCACTCTCAATAACACCAGTACATTCTCTGCACCGAAACTTCCCGCCAAGCAACACCCAGCCAATTAACCCCATCCTCTCCTCCAACACAGAGTTCCACCCACGCACCTAGTCCCTCTCCCCGCGCTTCAGACACATCTGTCATCGGAAAACCGCGTGAAAGGAAGCAGGCAATCAGCAGAAGAACCTGGCCGAATTAGTAAGTTTTTGTTTGTTTGTTTTTTTTCCCCTCATTCTACCTTTCTCTCCAGAAACCGAGTCCCTCAGAATAGAAGGTGCTGTGTTGACACTAATAAAAAAGCAGGTCGATTAATTCACTTTGCCCTCACCTCTTCCCACCTCCCCAGGTCGGGAACTGTCTTCAATTGTTGGGAAATTCAACCGAGCCAACTGGGTCATGAATGAAAAAAAAAAAAAAAATCCAAACCCGGGAGACTGGCAAGGAACGCGGAGGGCAGGGCCACTTCTTTTTGGGCTCGGCAAGGTCGCTGGGGAAGAGGGGAGAGACCTCAGTGCTCCTGCCCCATGCCAGGGCGCTGTGCCACTGAAAGGAGGCTGGCATTCACTGCCATGGTGAGCAAGAGAGAGGAGAGAGGGAGTGTGTGTGTGTGTGTGTGTGCGCGCGCGCGCGCGCACGTGTGAAGGGGGGCAAGTGTGAACGGTGAGTGTGGGCGAGGGTGAGTATGCCCCTCTTCAAAGCCGCCCTAGTGCCCTCTCCCACCGCCGCCGGCGCCGGCTGCCATCTCACCACCTTTGCTCCTGTCTCCCCACATGTCTCACCTTCAGATGGCGGCTCCCAGAAGCTCCTGCCCCTCTGACAGCTGTCGCTTGGGCAGCCGGGGAGACGAATTGTCCTCCTTCCTGGTGCCAGAGGACGCAGGAAATTAGCCAGGTTGCGAGTTGCGAAGCGGCCGCGGCGGCGCCGGGAACAGGACGCGCCCCACCTCCAGCGGGAGCGGCCGGGCCGGGCCGGGCCGGGGCCTCGTCTCGCTCGCCATCGCCGGACAAAGCGCAGCCAAGCCCGGCTGGAAGGCAGAGCTCCGAAGCAGGCAGGACGGAGCGGAGCAAAAGAATGCGGCTCTATTCTCGCAAGGGAAATTATAAAAAAGTTCATGTTCACGGTTCCCATCCACATGACCGACAGCGGCCAATGGAAGGGCCGAACAACTCATAAAGTTGTATTGCAAAGTTGTAAATTTTCATAAACAACAACGGATTTATGACCCTTTCCCCATCACTAAGAGGAGGCAGCTCTTACACCGGCGCCATCTTACCACCGAGGCTGCCCCGACTTGGGGACGCAGGTTTTACAAACCCAGTTGGGCCGGGTTTTATTAAAAGAGCAAGAAGAAGCGGGCCCAACCTAGGCAGGAGGCTGGAGTCGAGGTCTTCGCCCGCCGAGCTCAGGCTATTCTGCGCTGTCCCCATCGCCCTTCGCCCCTTACGCAGACCCTCATCCTTCCCCGCACCCGGACGCCCCCCGCCAAGGCTCCGCAGCCAGGGGGTATGCGGTCCCTGCCCCTTCCTCTACCCCTCAGTTGCAGTGCTGTGCCCAGGCGCCCTTGCTTTGCCTGAATGCAGGGTGGGAGGGGGGCTGCGTCAAAGGGCCTGAATCCCACCTCCTAGCATGGGGCTGGGTTCATGGAAAATTCAGGATCATTGGCAGGGTAATACCCCTTCCCAAGCCCACCCCACAGCAGTAGGGGAAACGGTGGATTTTGGATTTGCTCACGGAATTTATGGGTTTTTAGAGAGATTCATAGACTATAATGTATCTACCGAAGATTCCGTTTTCTAGAGATCCGGGAGATGTTTGTGCACACACGCAAAACCAAGACAAAAATCTCCAGAGAAATGCACATGTACAATTATAGACACACAGAAACACACACACTCAATTATGGACACAGAAATACATAAAATTATGGATTCCTGTAGTAATATACACATACGTAAAAATGCACATACAAAAGAGGTACACACGCACCTATACAAATCCACACAAAAAGGGACCTGCCACACATAAACACCAAACCATGGACACTCAACGCCTGGACGTTATTCATCCATTTTTGCTTCCCCAAGACCCCTTTGGGCATGCAGACATACCCAGGGCTTGCTCTCCAGCCATGGTCACCTCTCTTTCCCAGGCCCCCCTAGATAAAGCAGTCCATGTTTCTTTGTCACCAAGCATCTTTATTTTTCTGTTACATAAAACACGGTTAGCTGGGCAAGACAGGAAGCATGCCTTCCCATTCCTGGAACCCAAGCTAAAGCCTAAAGGGACAAGGGGGGACGCAGGACAACACAAGAGATGAAGGGCATTGAGAAGGGCATTAGCCCTCCCCACCAGCTATAAAGTTAGCTCAAGACAACACACCATGCTACAAAGTCACCCCATTAACACATCCTTCCCAAGTCAAGACATTGCCTTACAAATGACCTCCAAGACTATATAAATGACAAAAAAAAAATCTTGTTCAAATATACAATATTTGCTATTGTAGGAAAAGTCAGGGTGTACATATTCAACATGGCTGGACAGTAGGACATGGGGCCAGGGGAGGTGCAGGAGGCTGAGAGCATCTCTGCAGTCCTACTAAGCAAAGCTAACCCAGAGGTCTGCAGCTAGCTTGGGAGTGCTCCCCTCCAGAAGTGGGAGTAAAGGGCCTGAACTTGGGGTGCCCAGACCAGAGATGGAGGGATTCTAGGTTGCAGCACTTAGAATGCTTTGGAATAAATATATTATTTTTCAATTTAAATAGAAGCCAATACCCTGGTCCCCGGACCCCAGCGTCTTCTCAGTGCAGCCTCAGGGACCCCAAAGGCTGCTGGGCAGAAGCAAGAGGGGCCTGGCCGGGGAAGGGGCCGGCACTAGGTAGCAGGCGAGCCAGTGAGCACAAAATAGGTAGTTTGGGGCGAGTAGGTAGTACTGAGAAAATCAGGTCCTTGTCGGTATGGGGGAGGTGCTGGGTGTCTGCCAGTGTTGGGACGCGTCTGGGCTTCCTGGGAGTGGAGGCCTACTGGGGACTGGGCCCATAGGTAGTTTGGGGTTGCCTCTGGCCGAGGCCTGTGCTAGGTAGTATTTTAGCCGTGCCAGTGCAGAACTGGGCGGCCGGGGTAGGGAGAGTGTCTGCTGGGAGTCCTTGGGGCAGAGGGATCCCCAAGGGGACCCAGTCTAGGCGGCTGCTTAGTCCAGAAAAGGTGGGAGCTGGGATAGGTAATGGGGTAGATGGGTGCAGGTTGGGGATTGTTTTTGTTTTTGTTTTTGTTTTTCACGTTTTCTTTTTATTTTTTCCACTTTTGTAAATAAATTCAGTGAGTCTCTAAAGACGCTTTCCCGACTGTCTGGTGCAGCCAGGGCCCCTACTCGGCCCCTCATTCCTCTTCCTCGTCGTCTTCCTCTTCGTCGTCTTCGTCCTCATCGTCGGCCTTGTCCGTGGCGGCGGCGGTGGCGGCGGCGGCGGCGGCGGCGGGCACTGCGCCCTCGGGGGCTGCGGCGGCCGGACCCTCATCTTTATGCTCTTTCTTCCACTTCATGCGGCGGTTCTGGAACCAGATCTTGATCTGGCGCTCGGTGAGGCAGAGCGCATGGGCGATCTCGATGCGGCGGCGCCGCGTCAGGTAGCGGTTGAAGTGGAACTCCTTCTCCAGCTCCA